TATAAAGGATTCACGCTTTATCAAATTGATGTTAAAAATGTATTTCTAAATGGATATATTCAAAAAGAAATTTTTGTAGAGCAATTCCCTGATTTAAAAACCACAAGTATCTGGATTATGTTTTTAAACTTAGAAAGGTTCTTTACGATTTAAAACAAGCTTCCAGAGTTTGGTATAAAAGATTAAGAAAATTTCTACTTTTAAATGTCTTTTTAATAGGTAAAGCGAATACTACTCTTTTTGTCAAAACTTAAAAGAATTATATGATTGTCGTTCAAATTTATATTGATGATATTATATTCGATGCAACTAATATATATTTTTGTGGAGAATTTTCATAATGCATGAACATGAAATTTGAAGTAAGAATGATGGAAGAACTAAAATTCTTCCTTGGACTTCAAATTAAGCAAGCTAATGATGGAATATTAATTAGTCAAAATAGATATATATTGGTCATATTCAAGAGGTTTGAAATGGATGACTTGAAGCCAATGAATATTCCGATGAGCATACATGATCAATGTACTTTCTTTGATGTAACTAAATATCGAGGTATGATTGGGTCCCTTCTTTACTTAACCGCAAATAGACTCGATATCTTGTTTAGTGTTGTTTATATGCTAAATTTCAATCTAATCCTAAAAAATCACACCTCTGTGCGGTAAAAAGAACTTTTAGATATCTTAATGCATTTGAACCTTAGGCCTTCGGTATCTAAATGGCACACACATTGATTTACTTAGTTATTCGAATGGGATTGGGCCAATTGTACAGTTGATTGCAAGAGTACTAGCGGAACATGTGATTTTTTAGGCTTTGCACTTGTGTCATGTTTTAGTAAGATATAAAAATCGATTGCATTGTCTATAGCCGAAGCCGAATATAATTGGAACGCTAGTTGTTGTACACAAGTATTATGGATAAAACAAACTCTTAGGCCCCGTTTGATTATCATTTTTATCAAAATACATTTTTTTCTTTTTTCTTTTTAACTATACATTCTTCATTAAAATAATATTACACATAAATAAATAAAACTTTTCCTTATTTTTTATCCACACATTCTTCATCAATCTATTATTCTAAAATTTATTTTTCTGTAAAAATGGGTATCAAACACAATCTTAGTAATTATCACTTATCATTTGATCATATATCTATCTTGTGTGATAACACCAGTGCCATAAACTTGTTGAAAAATCCTATTTTGCACTCTCGAACAAAGTATATTGAAATTAGACATCACTTTTTAAGAGATCATGTACAAAAGAGAGAGATTATATTACAATTTATGAATACAAAAAATCAATTGGAGGACATTTTTACTAAACCTCTTGTTCGATTCTCACATATTCGAAGAGTTTTGGGCATCATTAATGAATTTGAAGTACATGCTTAAATTAAATTCATACTATTTGTTCTTACATTTTTTTTAATGGTATTTACTTTAATATGTTAAGAAAAAAAGATTCGAACAAGTCGAGCGGACTATTCGAAACCCTGTACGGTTTGGCAGAGAAAAATGGGCCAAATTAACGATGCCAATACAGACGTCCGGATCATGAACCGGATTTTCGGTACATCGTAAAATCATATTTTATATACATGATTCAGCTCTCTTTTCTTCTCCATCTCTCGCTTTTCTCTCCCTAAATCTTCCATAGATCCTTCATATTTCCATCTCAAATAATCAATTACTCTGCTAATTCAAAAACCCATCACTTTTACATTTCAAATTTCTCTAAAATTCGAACTTTCATCCACTAACATTTCAAATTTCTCAAAACCGAACCTTAGTTCCCTTTTCTCTTCATTTCTCCTCTCCTTTAACGATTTTCACATAGAAGAATACTTTAAATCATGGGTTGGGTGTCGATTACCACGTTAGAGGAAAATGCATATCCACGTCTCATGAAAGAATTCTACAAAAACATGGTTATCACTACTGGGGCAGAAGAAATTTTCTTTCTACTTAAAAACACCTGCATTACCATCATCAAAGCTCTCATCGGTGACATTCTCACGCTTGAAGTGTGTGAAAATCAAATATTTCTTTATAGAGCTCATCCCGCCTTGGAAGGATATAATCCTACTGAGGCATGTCATAGAGTCATTGAGAAAAGCATTGAAAACATTTCCAAACTTAGTGCAAATCAACTCACTCTTCCATGTAACGTTTTGCAAAACATTATTCCACGTGTCATTCTTCCTCGAAAAGGTCATCTAGATGAAGTAAAAAATTTTGATCTTTTCACTCTCGATTCTTTTCTTGTCGGGTGAAAATTAAATTTTCCAACCATTGCACGCGGTCTCATGAATCTTGTCCATTCCACTGACTACGCCAAAGCTTTACTTTATGGCATGCTTCCTATAAACTTTTTAAGCATTATGAAATCCCTTTACATGATGAGACCTTCGTTAAACTCCATCCTATCGATACCATCAATATCCAAACTTTTAAATAAATGAAAATAAAAAAAGAGTAGGGTCAATGGGTGGATATCACCAAAGAATTCAATCCTACCTCGGCTCCTTCCATTCTACCTTCCGATGGCGATGAGGACGACGATACGATGATGTACTACGAGTTTCAAGCCCTCCTCATGAAATTTCGAGTTCTAATGTTCCTCCTCCCACCCGTGGTTTCACATTTACTGTGGATCAGTACAATTTCCTTAACGAACACATTTATTCCCTTACCTCCTCCATTGACAATCTTGGCGGGATGCTTCACCAATTGCAAGTTTAACAAGCTGCTACACTAGACCAACAATATGCAATTGAAGCTTAACAAGCCGTGATATAAGCTCAGCAGACTGCCTTTTACATTCACTTCCCTCCACCCCCTCCTCCGGAGCCATAGCTATGGTTTATGATTTACTTTTATGTATTTTGTTATGGATGCAATTTGCTCCTTAAAATTTTTATCCATTATCAATTTGTTGTTATGAATTTATGCTAATCATTTTGTTTGTCATAATCAAAAAGGAAAAATTGTTGACCTTTGATTGACTTCATGTTTTGATCATAGCAAACAACTTGAATTTATTTTTAACAATTGAATTCAAGTCTCATAACTATTGTTACAAGGTTGGCCAATTGAGGACAAAAAGATCATTACCAAAAGACTTTCATCGGACGATCAATAAAAATCGAAATGAAAGCCAAGCATTCACAACAACTCACTTGAGACGAAGAACTTCAATAGTCAAACATCAAATATATTATATTAAGATGTTCTGCATTCATGTATAAATGTGCAACGCTTTAATCTTTAGAATTGAATCATTAAAAACTCGATGAAAAATATTTTATGCACAAAAAAATTATTTCATAAAAACACTTGCAAAAAAATTATTTTTTCAAAAGGTAAGTATTTCAACTCTATATTAAAAGTTTTAAACTCATTACAATATCACTTATCTTGAAAAATAAAGTGAAAAACATCATCCAACGATAACTTTATTTATCATTCTGAATTTTGACGCACAACAACTAGCTTGGTTGTCAGTTCAAAATGTGAACGTTCAAATTGGTTGTCTGGTTAGTCGAAATTTTTGGCGTCTTCAACTCTATAAGTATTATTTCACTTTATATTCATTGCAACACTTTTAAGAGCATTTAAGTAAGATATTCTTGAGCTAAATTATATTGATCTTATATCTTATTTATCTTTACCAAATCATTTATTTTGAAAAACTATTGATTGAATCAACGTTTGAAAAACATCTTTCTCATCAAAGTTCTTTCCTCATCTAACAGATGAATTTCATTCACTGCTATTCATTTAATTGTTAGCCTATTTATCTCTTTGTACTTAATTTGATTATATCATTTATTAAAAAAGAAGTTTCAAAATGTGAAATCATTTTTCTTTAAATATGTGAGCCATATTGAGGTCCCTGAAAGCTCAATATTGTATAAGAATCAATGCTCTTTGTTTGCAAATCACTGGAGGCATTGTAAGCATTTGGATTACACTATAGGTCAATCAAATTTAGTAAAAATACCTTACTCGTTACAAAGAATTTGGTAACGAAAGACGTAGATCATTGTTTGGGATCGAGCCTCCACAATTATATCATTTACACTCTCTTCCCATTTACTTAGCGCTTTCATACATTTGCATTTTTTTTGTTTGATTGACTTGTTCATTCTCAACTTAAATTTGAATCAATTTTTCGAAAAAGTTTTTAAAAATCAATTCACCCCATATTGATTAGTTATTCTTAAGCTATCGAGGTGCATGGGGTAAGGGCCCAAAAATGAGGCTTAAGGATGGGCTAATCAGGTATTTGGTAGGCTAAGTTTAAGATAAGAGAATGACCTTTCAAGTAGATAGTCATTCGATGGTTCCCACACTACGAAGCGGTTGTTCTTTTTTCTTTTTTTCTTTTTTTGACTTGGAATATATGTTGCAATAATGATCACAAAAAATAAAAAATAAAAAATAAACAAAAGGCAATCACAGGGGCAGTTTTGTATATTTTTCTCGCTAGTATTTTCCAAGAAATACGATATATTTCTCGTACAGAATTCTAAGATGAAAGGTTTGGAACTTTGGAGTGTTGAATAGGTACTGGACGTAAAAAACGAAACATGTCTTGGAGAGCATTGGGTTAACAAGGAAAGGCTCTCCAAAGCTCAAAATTCGAAAGTGTTATAAAGTTAAAAAGTTTCTTTAAATGAAGTTTAAGTAACTTAGAACTCGGCTACTACTGTAATCAGACAAGTCACAACTTATTCAGTTTTTTGAGAGCATGAAAAAGATTCACAAAATTCTTATGTTACTACATTATTCAACCCTTGTTTGGATCCATTTTTATCGAGGTTTTGGAAAAAATTGTATTTTAGAATAGTATTTTTTTGGATAATATGTTATTAAAAAAGAAGGAAAAATTTTGAACGTACGAGTACTATTATTTTATTAAAAAATGTGTGGTTGAAAAGAAGAAATAAAAAATATATTAATATTAAAATGGAGACCAAACAGCAACTCAATAATGCCTCTGTTTCTACTCTGGAAGATGTGTTTCTACAGAACACATCACCACTTGAAGGCGGTAAGAAAGTCGGAAGCTTTAGCATTGTGTGTCTATATTCTTGAGCAGATATGGATGGGTTCTTAAATGTAGCAAAACATAACCATAGAATTACATGGCAAGTATATGATCAAGGCTTCGTTACGTGTCTCAAGAAATTTGCAAGGGACGATCATTCAGGTCCAAAACTGTTGTGCAACGATGAATATAATGTACTAGTCAACGGAACAACTGCTCAAGGATTATCTTCACCCAATTCTCCCCATCCACTACTGCCACGAATGTAATTATCGACGATACAGAACTCTTTATTCTGAGCAATTCTCCGTGCATAGTTCTCGGCTGAAATTGCACCCTTCTTTAGTTTTCTATAGTATATTATCTCCCAAGGCCATGTGCGAGCACACCCTAGATACGTTTCAGCAGGTAGATCCTTTTTATCTTCCTCAGGATGCTCCAGTCGATAATGTTTTAGAAATGTGTACATTTCCTCAGAGGACAGTCTTGTTGACTGGGCAGCATTTGATCTCACGGAGATTTCAGGCTCTTTTGCCGATGTATGTTCCACCACACAGTACTCATTTGGAGTTTCCCGCATCTCTCTCACTTTGCAACATCAAATTATCCCAATTGTGATTACTGTTGTCTGACTGCGTGTTATAGGACTCTAGCAGTTGGCATGAATCACTGGTGAAGGCAATATTGTGTGCGTCTTCCCTTATGGCAAGATCCTTTTTCATTCCTTCCTCTCTCAATGCTGCGGCTGCAGATTCATTTTCCGTAACTGTAATATTTTCAGATTTGGTGCCACTGACACCTTTTACCAGTTTTTCGTCTCCCCTGTAATCTGTTTGCATTTTATTTGGTGACGAAGAAAAACATCTATCGAGTGCTACCGGTAAAGCCAGAGATGTGGGAGAGTTTGAGCTTGATGTCAACCTCGACATGAAGGGTTTAGATCCAGAATGGTATGACGTTGAAGACCACGAATGAGCGGACGGAGAATTTTTTCTGGATGATGCTGATTTGAACTTGGAATGGGAAACAGACTCAGAGAATGAGCTTATTGATCTTGTAGGTGACTGCAATCTGGATGCAGTACAATCAGAGTGGATTGAAGACGACAACAGAACCCTTGCTTTCTTTGAACGGTGTCTCTCTGGACTTTCACAATCTGTCTTATTTCGATTGTTCTCCCTGTACTTTTGTTTCCTATGTCTGGAAGTAAGCTGTGCTGAGGGAGAACCTCCACGTCTAAGCAATCTCCGATTATTTCTTGAAGTCGATGGCTCCCTATCGTTTTTCTGATGCCTCATTGGAGCAGCATCACTACTTTGACTCGGCAGTTGAGACCTTGTTCTGGGTCTCTCCAGCTGTGAGGGGCACTTCCGCATTTCATGACCCACTTTACCACATGCATAGCACGTTTTTCGAGATTTTGAATTGCTGAGATGATCCAAAATTTTATGATGATCATTTTGTCCAAAGCCTGTTTTCTCTGGAGACTTCGTTCTAGTGGGTGAACCACAAAAATAGGATGCATCGTGAAGTTCATTCTGCTCCTTTTTGTCATCACTGTAATAAGGTTCATAACGGTCAAACTCCAATCCATTTTCTAAACCATTTTCGTTTGATGGATCCAAAACCTGCTCTCCCCACCTATCATCCTCCATATGGTTCTTCCCGCTAGCTTCATGAGAATCATCAAAAACAGCACGATCTTTTTCCCCAGCACAACAATTCAAATTGTTGGAAGGGTAGCTTCTTGCTTCATCAACCAGGTCAGAAGAACCAGGCTTTCTACCTTCACTATCTATTTTCTTGAATTCCATATTGTGATTGTATTTACCATTTGATCCCACCCTATCTTTGACAGAGTACCTTTCTTGTGGTGCCTTGTATGATTTACCACCTCTATCAAATAGCAGCAAGGCTCGACGCTGCCTATTTGACCACGATAGGGTTATTGGCTCTCCACAAATTCTTTTGCCTCGAAGTGTTTTCAGAGCTTTTTCAGCACATGCAGGGTAATCATAAACTACAAACCCGTATTTGTCTTTTATCCGTACAGTACACCTACCAAACCTTCGGAAAACACGTTCCAATTCATCTTTACGAATGCGAGATGACAGATTACCAAGATGCAAAGACATCTGTAGCAAAAAACAAGAAAAAATTTAAAACCTGAAAATTACATCAAGTACTTAGAAACATAGGTGCATGCATGTATACGTGGTATTGAGGTGTTTTTGCATGAGGCAAAGGGTGAACCTCGGCTGCTTTGAAGTATAAAGCTCAACATAAACCAATAGAATTTCAAATAACTACAAAAATAGAAAATTACACATAATAAAAAATTAAAAATTTCAAAATATAATTATTAATACCGTTTAGAAAAGCTAAAAGACTAACATACTATTAGAAACATAAAATGGATTAATAAAGCAGCCAATAACAAATTAGTAGAGTAGTAATCACATTATAAGACCATTAATCTACAACTAGAGCTAAAAGTCCAAAAAAATAGATGCATCAGTTATTTGAGAACTTCATTTGCTTTGACTTAAAAGGAAAGAAATTCCAGAGGAAAGAAAACATCACAATAGAGACATCAATAATAAGAAAAAGTAAAATAAAGTAGGGTGACATTACATGTTGGAGGTCTCTAGCAATCAAAGAGTTGCAAGTTCTCTTCTTTAGTATTCTGTTGTAGGAGTGCAAAGCTATGCTAAGCACATTCCCTTCACTCATTATTTTCTAATTTTCTCCAATATTCTATTCTTTTGTTTCTAATTTTTAGAGTTGAGGCGCATTTAAACAATCTGGAGGAACCCTCAAAACGTGTTGGGAAAACATGACTTAAAAAAAGGATTAAGGGGAGCACACCTCAGCCACCTCTATGCGTGCCCCATGCACTTTAAAATTAAGGCGTAAGTCTTGACAAAAGGAACTCAAAGTGTGAGTTTTGAGGGTCCTAATGAACACCTTGTACAACACACATTCAAGGCGTCTGAACATTTTTGAAAACTTTGGTACTGACCAGAAACTATCTATCTAATATAAGGTGCGCAACACTTTACTATAATCTGAAAAGTCAAGTAATGCCACTCCAAATAATGCAACAGCTAATAAACTGCAGAGTACAAAGAAATGGGCGTTTCAGGTCCCACTTACAAGTTCTTAGTGCTAAAAGAAGTTGATTGTT